GAAATTTTCACTGTACCTGATTTCACTTTAGTTTGTCACTCCTCAGAGCACTGGGGACTTGGGGCTAGTGGGTGAACACCCTGCTCTCAGACTGCACTGGAAAGAATCTGACCTGTTGCATCTAAAGAATAAGATACTCCCATTCCACCTAACTCCACAATTTTTTGTTCACTTTGTATATGGAGATTTAAGGACTAGGAGAGATAGAGGGTAGACATGGTATGTGATCCTTAAAGAGTTATGAAGTTATTAGTGCAGGAACCCTGGGATGGATGTAGGGAGCATTTAACTGTCTTCCAAATGATCTCCAGATTGAATTCCTTCTTCCCCCCAATCCTTCTGTCCTTCCCTCCCAAACAATGATATCTTCTCAATTCTGTCCAATTGAAATACAGCTTTAATGTTTTACTCCAATCTATTTCATCCCCTAAACCCTTTTAGACAGAAATTTAAGCAATTGAAGCTGTTACTTCTATAAATATTGGGACACAGAAAGTCTAGGATTCAATCTAAACATTAAATCACATTATTTCCTCTCAAACCTCCTCAGAAAAATCTCTTAATTGCTTTTTGGCTTAATCACAAATTCTCCGTTTTTCTGCTTTTATAAAAAACAAGGGCATGGCCATTGACTCACCTTGCTCTCTGTTTCCAGCTGAGACTCTCTGTGTCACAGTTCAGACGCCAACACATATGAGGCTCTACCACAGAAACAGCTCCTGGCTCAGAGAAAAGCCTCTCATTCTCCTAAATATTGGGACACAGAAAGTCTAGGATTCAATCTAAACATTAAATCACATTATTTCCTCTCAAACCTCCTCAGAAAAATCTCTTAATTGCTTTTTGGCTTAATCACAAATTCTCCGTTTTTCTGCTTTTATAAAAACAAGCGCATGGCCATTGACTCACCTTGCTCTCTGTTTCCAGCTGAGACTCTCTGTTTCACAGTTCAGACGCCAACACATATGAGGCTCTACCACAGAAACAGCTCCTGGCTCAGAGAAAAGCCTTTCATTCTCCTACTGCCTCACTGTTCAAAGTTATGACCCTAGTCACCCTTATGGCCAGTCTCTATCTGATATAGTACTAGGGGTCCTTCTAAGTTCTATCCTGAGAGGCAAAAGTAATTCTTCCACAGTTTACTCTGTTTGTATAAGTAAGGGCAGAGGGAGAGGGTGAAATCTCTCATTAAAGAAAATTTTTTCTGGGGTTAAATGAAGAAAAAAGTGTTGTTTGACTGGTGGTGAGGGTAGGGGGATATTGGTCTGTCTGTGTCTCTTATACTCCTGGGGTAAACACTGGCAGCCTCATAGCTCTGCTCTTGACGCAATCAATCCTTAAGCTGTTGTTCTAGGTGAATCTCATGCTTTAATCTTAGAATTTCTTTGCCCCATCACCACATTTCTCTACCTACACCATCTAAGTCTGTAGAAATTTTGCTGGAGCATGCTCTCTTCCTGCCTTACCTACTGCCTCTTTGTTGCTGTCCAAATAAGAGTCCTTATGATTGTTTAAAATAACAGATATGGAAAATAAGTCTGCATTTTGGGGGTGTAGATTTGTATGACTGAAGTAAGGTGAATAGGAAATGTCATTAATACCAGAGGAATGATCGAACCTAAGGAAGTATCCTCAGCCTTCCATCCATATTTTGTGAGATATGAAGCCCAGGATTTTGCACAAGCTGGCAAGTCCTGTTGCAATGAGCTATATACCCAATATGAGGGTATTTTAAATGGTCGTTAGGGTAAGCTTTAAAAGTTTTCTCTGGGTCAGGCTCTAGTGCATTTATATGGAGCACAAGAATTGGGGTTCTGATGTTCGATGAATACTGAGGTTCAAAGAGTTGAATCATGGAAACTATTCAGGTTCCTATGGAAGACATTAAACACTGTTTGTGAAAGTGGAATTGGTGTTTAATGTACTCTCAAGGTGTTTTGGGGGATTTCTGGTTTCATGAATACTTACAGCCACTGGCCTGGAGTAGTATCAAATAGGAGTACCACCACTGGCATCTCTGCCCTTCTCATCGACTGTCATTTCCCTAGTTCCAGTTCTAACTATCTGAATCTTTTTCTGACAGACAGAAACATAGAAGCTGCTAATGGGGAGCATGTAACTCCCAAAATGGCCCTCTGAGTGATGTATCTTTTCCACAGAAATCATGGAACATTCTCTGACTTATTCACTGGCCATGTAAGCCTTTCATTTTATGTATGTATGTACGTATGTACATACATATGTATGTATGTATGTATGTATTATTTATTTATTTCTCTATACCTATCTATCATCTATCTATCTATTTATCTATCTATCTATCATCTATATACCTATCTATCTACCTATCATCTATCTATCATCTACCTATTTATTTTAGACAGGGTTGTTCTGTGTCACTCTGCTGGGCTGGAATTCTTTATGGACACTAGGCTGGCCTCAAGCTCACTGAGATCTTCCTGCCTCTACATCCCAAGTGCTGGGATTAAATGATTACACCACTACAGCTGGCTGATTCATGAATCATTTTTCAAATACTTTATTATTTTTATGTTATGTGTATGAGCATATTGCTTGCATGTAGGTAGATATACTTGTGTCATGCAATGCCTGCAGATGTCAGAAGAGGGCATCAGATCCCCTGGAACTGGAGTTACGGAAGGTTGTTAGACGCCATGTGAATGCTGGGTCTTGTGCATGCTGACACCATTGTTCCAAGTTCATGAGCAAGGATTAAATTGCTTTCTATTTCCATTCAAGCCTCTTTTCTACACTCCTAATCACTTTCTGGCTGGATCTGTTCCAAACAGCCATGGTGTGCCCAGCTGACTCATCCTGCTCATGATCTGCAACTAAGCTGCTCACAGTCCTGCTTCCTTCCTAGTGAGGGCTCATTACTGAGGTATCTCCCAGACTCAGTGAATAGGTATCTGTCCTCTAGCTGCACCAACTTGGAGACTGTAACTTTGGTCATTCTTGGGACTAGTCTCTACTTGGGGCATTTTAAAAGTGCCACCTAGAGAGACATAGTAATACTAACCCCACCGATTCTCTTATATGAGGGAGGATGGCAGAGAGAGTGAAATCCATCACAGAGAGCAATTTGCCTTAAGGTTGGAATCAGGAAATGAATCTTTTTTTTATTGTGGGTGACCCTGTTCTGCCTCTCTCCTCTCACAGCCTCCTGGGGTGAGTACTGGCAGCCTGGGACCTCTGCTGCCACACAGCCCATCCATCACCTGCTCTTCTCAGTAAGTCTCCTTTCACCTTCCTGTGGGTGTAATTAGAAATTCTTCTCCCCAATCACCAGGCTCCTGCATCTGCCCTTCTAAATGTCTTAACGAAATACTTTTCATTGTGCACACTGTCTTCCATGCTTTCTTGCTATCTATGTGTTGTCCATATGTGAACCCTCTGAAGCCCTCAGCTTTCTGATTTTTCAAAGTAACAGATGTGGAAAGGAATCCAAGTTTGGGGGGCATAGATTTGTGTGACTAAAGCTAGGTGCAGAGGAAACACCACTGACTTCAGAGAAATTATGTATGGTGAGGCTAGGACACTGTCCTCAGCCAGCCCCCAAACCCTGTCTTTTATTAGGTACTAAACCCAGAAATATACACAAGATGGCAAGTACTGTTCCACTGAGCTATAACCCCAATATGAGGGTCTTTTAAAAGGTCATTATGATAAGCTTTTGGGGTTGGGGGCCATATGTGGTAGAGGGGGGTCTAATTTGATTAAAAACTGTTGTATGAAATGTACAAAAGCTCAATTAAAAAAATAAAACCCTAGGGGAATGATTATAGACAGGCTGAACAGGCTCCAGTGGATGAACTCACACTGAGGGACATCAGGGTACACACACTTGACCAGATAGGCCTTACATATATGACAAAATGCGTGAAGTCCTGTGGGTGGGATATGGGAGGCTTTGAATAGGCAAGGGTTGAGGGGACAAATATGATTAACATGTATTGTATGAATTCTACAAAATTTCAAAAAAAAAATCCTGGAATCAGGTCTACCAAAACCCTCAGAATCTTTGATGTTGGGGTTGCTTGTAGAAAGAAAACTGATCTTTCTAGATTGTTTTCTGACCTGTTGATCTCATGGAGAATATTATGGGTTTTATGGACTCAACTTTCCCTGGTCCTCTTGATAAGCACTAAAGGACCTTTGTCCTCAGCATGCAGTGTGTTCAAGGTATGCCTTCTGTGCTCCTTAGGGTGGTTTTTCAGTTTAAACCCCCTGTTACTATTGGACATTGTGGCTCAGGTCACTTACAGTGACAACAGGGAGAGCCAAATTACCCATGGTCATGTTTAAATAAATAGAAAAATATGGTGCAAATACATTATTTTTATACATGAGAATACTTTGAACAGAAATATTCATTGTTTTTTGCAATTCTAAGTCTTAAAGAAAAATGACAAAGACATCTATAGAAGGTCTATAGGGATCATATTAATTTTTATGAACAGATTTGGGAATAGAATAACTCTAAATAAACAATACTAACATTGTCAACAGAATAAGTGCTATATGTATATATCCTCATTGGCTAAATAAATGCCTTCTCTGGAACAGGCTGAATCCTGGAAGCTCTTATATGTACATGTATATGAGGAGCATACGTATGAGGATGCTAATGTTGGATGAACAATAATGAGGTTCAAAGTACTAAATCATGGTACCTATTCGGTTACCAATGGAGACACTAATTAAAAACTTTCTTAAAAAGTTTGAATTAGTGTTTGAAGCAACCTTAAGTAGCTACATGGATTTCTTGTTTAATGAACACTTGAAGCTTCCACAGCTGGAGTGACATTAAACAGGAATCACACTACTGACATCTCTTCCCCTTCTCATCAACTTTTATCCTGGTTATAGCTTTAACTCCTTCTAACAGACAGAAGTACATAAGCTACTAGGGTGAAATATGTTACCCTCAACATGGCCCTCTTAATGATGTGTTTTTTCCAAAGAAACGTGGTGTCATCATGGAACATTCCTATGGCTTACTCACTGGCCAAAAGTCAGGTAAGCCTGATTCATGAGTGTTGATGCTAGACTCTTTAATACTCAGAAAGTTGCTAATTGATTGATGACACTCTAGAAAAGCTTGTTGATCTCCTCACCCTGGTCTCTCCCCAGTGCCACTGAAGAGCATCTCTGTGACCCTGTCCATCAATGACTTCGAGGCTGGGGTCTCTGCAACCTTAAACTATGAGAATGAGGAAAAAGTCCCCTTGGAGGCCTTCTTTGTGTTCCCCGTGGATGAAGACTCTGCTGTCTACAGCTTCAAGGCCTTGGTGGATGGGAAGACAATTGTGGCAGAACTGCAGGAGAAGATGAAGGTGCGGGCTGAGTCCTTGATCTCCTCCCTCCTTATTTCTTTATTGCATTCTCATTTGATCTTTATGAAGAATTTATAAGTGCTTGTGCAGAATGTTCTTTCTTCCATTCAATTCTAAATACTCTTTGCCTAAAACTAATAGAGCAGAAGGAATAAATTAGAGGCTATCAGAATACAGCTCTGAAGTTCATTGGACCCATATAACACCCTTCGCACCAATTCGGATCTTCTTGACTACTTGTGATTTCGTTTCCATCCCTCATGCTCCTCCCTTGGGCTCATAGCAGCTATGAGGATGCGCTCTCCCCGGCCACCAGGCCTACCTATTGGAAACAGACTACTATTCTAGGGATGTCTTCTCTTGCAACATTGGGAACCTGCAGCCTGGGGCCAAAGTGGCACTTACTCTGAAGTATGTGCAGGAGCTGTCCCTAGAAGCAGATGGGGCCCTGCACTATGTGCTCCCAGCAATCCTGAATCCTAGGTACCAGCTATCTGGTAAGTACTCTGACTCTTTGAAAGCCAGTTATAGAATTGAGTAATTTCCATAAGTCGCTGGGTGTGTTGAAACCTTTTGGCATGGAAAGCAGAACTAAGATACCTTTTTATAGACCTGTCTGGGGACAGTTGCCTGGATGTGAAGACTCCCATAGTCCCTTTGGAAGACCTGTCCTACATACTCAGCATGATGGCCACCATCAGCTCTGAGCATGGCATCCAGAGGGTCCAATCCAACTGCTCCTTGAATCCTGTTGAGTATCTTA